AACACTTAGGCTTCACCGAGATCCTGGAGCTGCCGTGCCCCGGCCCGAGGCACCGCTGGACCCTCAACCTTTCTGGACCTGCCTCACCTACCAGGTGGCTTCTGGTGGCTGCGTGCAGAGCACCGCTGCCAGCCACCCGCGTGCACGTACGCGTTTGATTTCAACAAAGCGTCCTGGGCTGCGAGCGCATGCAGCTGGAAGGAGGTTTTCATACTCGTCCCAGGCATAGGCTCAATTCATTATGTTGCTGGGAGTCGAGAAGGAATCAATTTCCCTGCAGCAGCTACTCTACTTTGTAGCAATTAATTAGTCATTAAAGCACAGACAGCACCAGGTCTACCTGTCTCGTGTTTCCCTCCCCCCCGGCCCCGCTTCTACTTAGGCACAAAACGCTTAGTTTTACAAAGTTCACGAGCATCAGACCAGGCGATCGAAGCCAGGAAATCCCACGTCCACAGCCAGAGCGTGATCCCGGGACGCGGGAAGCAGCCTGACCAGGCAGTGCTGCTGCTGCTGCTGCTGCTGCTGCTGCTGCAGCCCCCCGCTGATCTCCTGCTGTCACCGCACTAACGGCTGGCTGGCTGGCTCATGCTCTTTCCTATTACAAGGTGGAGGAGAAAAAAACAGAAGGAAAGAAAAGGGAAAAAACCCGAGACCTGGATGAAGCGCCTCTACTGCAGGGAAGCGTTCGTGTCCGAGAACTGAGCTAAAACCCAGGTGACCGACTGACCGCTTCAGGGACGCTCCGCCCTCCTGACCGGCTGGTTCAAATGGCCCTGGACCAGCCTGCGGGCTTCAAAGAGTCCCACTCGGAGGTGCCCTGCAAATCCCACCTTCCCTTTTTCTCCTCTCCTTACCCTAACACGTTACCTAGCTATGGGATGTGAGGCTACGAATTTCATCAGATGACAAATCACTTAAATGGTGGGTGTTCTGACGGGAACGTAGCCCTGTGTGATCATTACTTGAAAAGCGTAACCCAAATTGACTTTTACAAGTGACGTACACCTCGCAGAGTTAACATGAACGGCCTGTATGGAGATAGCCTTGGTCCAAAGCACAGATACATCTTGCTTAAGTCACAAAAGCTTTTTTTTTTTTGACAATACTGTAACTTAATAATTTACAAGCTGAAACTGATCACCCAGTATTTGAAATACGTCACAGCGAGTTACAGTTATCACTAGGACTTCACAGCAAATAAAACTCGTAACTAAACATGCACAGATCATTATATATACAGTGATAAAAAAATAACGATGTACATTTTCTTGTAAGAAGAAATTAAGTAAATTCTTTGTGCATTTCAGGATTGAAACATCTAACCTATATAAAATTACTTTAAAATATGAAGTAAATATTTAACCCAAAACTTGAGAAATCTTTTGTAATCTGCAATATAGCCTTCTCATTTCAGTCTTTCTTTCTCTGACACAGAACGACTTAGGAATTTTATCCTCTAAGATATTTAATAGTAATGTGCAGATATAAAAAAATACGTCCTTTGTGGCAAGCTTGAACATATATATATATATATATATTTACAAACCTCCAGAACAAATTAGCATTAAAAAACACAGAAGTAGCAGATTGACATAGTGCTTTATTTAAGCTGTCTGTACGAAGGAAAATAATGTGCATCCCTATCATATACGTGTAAAAATACTAAGGATGTACAGTGTACAAAAACAGTTTCTTGTAGTTATTTCACATCCTTGTGGGTCATATACTTAAGGAAATAAACAGTTTAAGTATGACCAACAGTAATACGGTTCCTTGGGTTCATAGTCGTGTCTGCTTAATATCCTTAACCATATGACTAGATCTTGCATGGATCTAATGAAAGAACTAGCAAGGTCAAGAAATGTCACAAACTCTAAAGCTACAGGGAGGTAATTCAATTACCAATTTAGAGGTTTTTATTTAAATAAATACTTTACATTTCATGCTTGCCTGTAATGCACTACCAGGAGCAAGATAAGGAAATTCTACTGTAGACAGTACAAACAGTAGCAGCAAAGTGTGTACATTGAGGTGTAATATATAGACCCTGCAGTTAGTAAGGAAAGACCTTACTTTTGTACTCTAGGAGAAGCACATGGCCCCTGCAAGAACAGTCAGCTTTAAGAAGCCGCAAGTAAAGATGGAAAAAAAGGTAAAACAATACTGGAATAAAACGGTCTTTAAGCAACAGGAATGTACTGGAAGATGGATTAGTGTGGAAAGCGAAGCTGTGTGCAAAACTGCCAAAATCCAAACAGAAATGACCTATTTCCTCCGAGATGGCTGCAGTACAAGAGGGCATACTGGATGTCATGGAAGTCAGTACAAGCTGGAGTCAAAGTCTGAAACGTACTGTGCTCGAGAGGCTCGCCCAGGGAACCAGCCACCGCCTCCTGTCCAAATCCAACCACGACTGCAAACAGCAAGAGAAGAGCTTCGAAAGTTCCTCTCGGCACCGCTCGCCCATTTGTCTTTCATCTGTTTCTAACACTGGTAAGAGAGAGAATCCCCCAGCCCCGGGCAGCAGGAGGCGGCCGCTGACTCTCTCCGTAGCATAAACTTGATCAATGACGTTTTGGAAGGCAGGCAATACAATGCAAAGTGAAGTCTTAAAAGGTTTTCAAATAATTCACTGACAGATACTTAACTGCAAACCGCATTCTAA